TTCACTGCAGAAGTGTCAGGCATCAACTTCCACAATTATTTAAGCAAAGCCCTGAAACTGTTGCACAGCTCCTTTAATGAGGGAAATTATCTGCTTTCAAAAGGTGGGGGACGCGCCTCACAAAGTTAGAAGCTGTCACGGCATTATGATTTATCCATCCTCCAATATTGATATTATACCCCCACCGAAGCCAGCAGCAATATACACCTACATTGCTGAAGTTGACCGAATACTCATTTTCTCTGTTCAGGATTCGAAGTCAAGTTCAATGCAGAGAGGTTCTGCGTAAATCCCCGATGAAGACTTTCTTTAGTTTGTCCGCATTCGTTTCCATGCTACCGGCTAATACCATTTGGCTGAGTTTAAGTAGTATCTGTCTGTCAGATATACTTTTATTCAGCAGTTCACTTAATAGCTAGTCAACTAAGCTCATATTTCAACCCGAAGAATATACTAATAGTATTGCTTTAGTGGGACATAGTAAGTAATATAGTACATAACCCGCATATTCGTCAAAATGACTTCTTGATTGCTACTACACTCTAAAATATGCCCATGCGTCTGCTCTCCCGCACAACACTTCGAGAGCCAATCACCGCAACTTATGAAAGCAGCTCGGCGAATGACAATGCCGAAACATGTTTAGACCAAAAAACGCAGTCTGAGTTGTGACATTAAGCAATGCAAAACGTCACGCTTGCATTGCTTAATGTCACAACCCAGACTGCGTTATTTCGTCTAAACACATGTTTTGGCATCGTCATTCGCTGAGCTGCCCCCGTAAGTTGCGGTGATTGGCTCTCGAAGTGTTGTGCGGGAAAGCAGACGCACGGGCTTTTTTTAGAGTGTATAACCTGAATCAAAATACGAGTATCAGCTGCTTAGTGGGGCAACAGCGGGTTAAAATGCTTCTCGGCTCAAGAAGTGCTTGCTTAATTTTCGTAATTTTCCTGCAGCTTGTGTTGTTGACGAGTAGACGACTGGAGCTGTTTCTTAAACGCGGATATGCACAAAAGCTCGATTTTGCGGAGAGATAAGTCGCATGGCCGAGGCATGCGAGTTAGCTGAAAATTACTCCCGGTGGAACAATTCTGTAGTCATCGCCACTTTCCTTAGCTGATCAAAACTGATTACAGTCTGTTACGGTCCCTGCGAAGCCCATAGTTTCGGTTTTGAACAAAATCCGAAACAAAAATTTGACATAAAAAGAAAAAAAAAGAAAAACACCGGGGAAACAAAACTATGTTCTGCAGGTTTATGTGCACCGGCTACACTTAACCGTCTCAGTTTAAATACCTATAAAATTGGGCATTAAACAAAAGAATATTTGTTAACGAATGCGCCACTTGTTCAGGCGGCCCGGCCAAGCCGACGCGACCTGGACCCAGCCGCCATGTTTGTTTGGTGGTGGCGCCCCCTATAGGGCTCTGGAGTCGCGAATAAAAGTGTAATTTATTTAGTTAATGTTTTTGTTTCACTACTGAGCAATGTTTTAGTTAGCAAAAATTAAGGCCCAGGTATGTTGTACAGCAATGATATGTCAATACAAGCTATCAGTTCAAGCAAAAAAACATGTGAGATGTTTACAATTCTCTGTAATGACGAATTGGGGCGCAGATTTTGAGGAGGAGGAGGAGGGAGGGTACGGGGGGAAGGGTATGCGCCTCCTCCTTCCCCGCTAAATTTAGCGGAAATATTGGCAATTTTAGATGCTCACGTCGTACGTCACGTGACGTCCCGTCCCATAATGGCGTCACGTGACGTCCCGTCCCATAATGGCGACACATGTGGCATCACGAGGGTAACGTTTTGACGTTACCCTCGTGACCCTCGGGGGGGCTACCCCCATAAGGGTTACCCTCGTAAGGGTAACCCTCATGAGAGTTACCCCGTGAGGGTAATCCTCATGAGGGTTACCCCCGTGAGGGCAACCTTTACGGGGGTAACTCTCACGGGGTTACGCTCACGTGGGTAACCATCACGGGGGTTACCCTCACAGTGGTAATCCTTGAGGGTTACCCTCACGAGGACAAACACAAATCTCCAAACACAGCTAGGTGACTGAAAAGCGATCGAAAAAATCCGCCTGGTCCGGGTATCAAACCCGGGACCTCTCCATTACAAGTGGAGCGCTCTACCAACTGAGCTAACCAGGGGTTAGAAGTCAGTAGAGCAAACGGGTTGTATCAGCTGCCACCAGTCTAACACCAACAAGGGGGAAGCTTGCAATTTAAGGTTATAATTTTTATAAAATTAAATGCAAAGGTGCAAGCGAGCTGGACAAGAATGACGAAAATAATCCCTGGAGAAGGGGAACAAGAGGGACAAAGGACAGAAACAAATCTCCAAACACAGCTAGGTGACTGGTGAGCGACCGAAACAATCTTCCTGGTCCTGGTATCGAACCTGGGATTTCTCCATTACAGGTACAGGGATTTCTCCATTACAGGAGCGCACTACCAACTGAGCTAACCAGGGGTTTGACGTCAGACGAGCAAACGGGTTTTGGCAGCTGCCACCAGTCACAATCACCAGTGATAAAACCTGTTTGCTCTACTGACGTCTAACCCCTGGTTAGCTTAGCTGGTAGAGCGCTTCACTTGTAATGGAGAGGTCCCGGGTTCGATACCCGGACCAGGTGGATTTTTTCGGTCGCTCACCAGTCACCTAGCTGTGTTTGGAGATTTGTGTTTGTCCTTTGTCCCTCTTGTTCCCCTTCTCCAGGGATTATTTTCGTCAATCTTGTCCAGCTCGCTTGCTCCTTTGCATTTAATTGCATTATAGTAAGAAAACCTCGACGTTTTTCCCTAGCGGGGTGGAATATACAAAAAGCAAAACAAAAAAGTTTTTTTGTGTCTGTGTGTGTCCACTGCTCATTTTATTCTATTTGTTATTTTGTTGACACTCAAATCTACATTGCTGCCGTAGGCCGTTTCCCATTCTGCGTTGCGCCTTAGTATGGCTATCTTTACTTCCTTAAAACCACCCATTTTGTTTGAGGGCTTTTTTGGGGGGAAAGTCGGGGAAACAAAAGGCGCATTTGGGAAAGGGGGGAGAAAACCTTCATTGTACGAACTTTGGGCTGAAATATGAGTCACAATCGGCAAACTAGCAATGTTTTTACAAGCTCAATCTAAGTCACCGTAGCTTATCGGAGCTAGCAACAGGATTTGGTTGCTCAAAAGAATGTTCACGTTTGCTCATGCCACGCCCACGCCACTTGATACCGAAAAACTCGGAAAATGGCGGAATGTCGAAAAGGTATTTGAGATAATGAGTACAAGATACTCAGAATCGTAATTAAAATAGAGTATCAAATACTCTCGATCAAAAAAAGTCAGAAGATACCAACATACTTTAAAAAGCATTTGAAATACAGTATCTTGAGTAGAGTATTTGAGATAGGCACAAGTCTGGCATAAATACGTGGCTATAATAGGAGTCTGTAACGTCAACAGGTATTACACATGCGCATTGGGCTATTTTAGCGCAGTTTTCAACGCCACGAATTTCAAAGAAAAACGCTCCGATACATTTTTGTACATCCGATTGTAAAACATTCCAAACTTCCTATTCTGTCACAACATTAAGCAATATTTGCTCTTATAATCGAGCGCAAAGAGAAAACGCATTTGCATTTTCCCATGGGAATGCATTACCGGAAGTCAAATTTAGACTGCTTGCTGTCTGCTTCGAAATGCAAACAGCACACTAGCGCCACCTGAACCTCTAGCGTTTATTTTAATAACTCTATCATCTATTTGGTAAGGTCGTGTTTGTCGCGGCGTTCGGTATTAGCAGAGACGGGCGGAAATTTCAACTGGAGCTTTAAAGGGGCACTACAACATCAAAATCTTTTTCTTTTTTTTTTATTATCCAAAACGATTGAAAACGATGCTGGGACATTACCCTCAAAATTCGAAACTTGGGAATTCAGTATTTGTGAAGTAAAAAAGTTTCCAAATGCCGAATTTGAAGTTCCCGCGCGGTCCGCGCCAGTGCAGTGACGTCAAATTTTGCGGTCTCCTGCGAGTCGACTTTCTCCCGGACGTTCGCTCCATGCTACAAAGCAAAGCGCCGTTGCCACCGCGACCAGAAGCGCCGACGGACCGGGAGAAAGAACGCTTTCTTCCCCCGACTCACCGATCATCCTCTGCTCGAGCGCCGCAAAATTTTCCGAGGGAGGATACAAATCCAGGAAGCGACGTCACACCGGACTCCGATTTTCGATATTTCAATAAGAGGGGCCGTAATGTGTTCACAATTTTGTTTTAAAAAAAAATTGTTTTACAATTGCTGTTGTTAAATGTTATAGAAATGTCGCCTACAAAGCTTCTAAATTTCATGATTTTTGATGTCGCCGATCAAAAGAAGTGAGGAGGTGAGAAGCGGTAGAGAAAAACAACAAAAATAAAAAAGCGCGCGCGCGCAAAAATTTTTTTTTTTCGCGATGCATTTTTTTTTGCGAGCCTATGACTACAATTTGCATCGTTTTAGACAATATAAAAAAATATACAACCTTTGGGGTGTCAGTGCTCCTTTAAGTTAACATAGTTTCGTATGTCATATTATCGATATATCGAACTATTTTACGATCCCCTTTGAATTCGATATATCCATGTTCGACATGTAAGGCAATTATCTAAGTTTGGTTAGAATGTATATTTTAAGAAATTTAGACCCTTGAAATGACATTTCTGTTGCAATTATTTCAAAACAAAGAGTGTCACACACATGATTTTTGTTGTTCATTGCACTCCATGTTTGAAAAAAGTGTAGGGTTTTCTAAGTGGGTTGCCATGCCTCATGCATGCACAAGAATAGTTTTTTCTGCATATACATTGCATCGAAAACCTAAAAAAGCAGCTATTTCAAATCTAACAGCAGATTTATAATGAGAAGATTAAGCACCATAAACGAAATATTTCAATGTCGTAAATAGTAATAATTCCCCTGGCGCATGTTTTCTTAACACGAGCGTTGTTGTCTCTTCCTCCCAGGTCCTTGAGAACTGCAGGCCTTAATATCACTGCCAAGACGGCAGTTTTCATCATGACATCCGGCATCTATGCACCTCCGTCCCAACGAATTGTGCTTTGGGCTATCGGAGCCCGGAGGTTTCAGTCCCTGTGAAAGATGCACTTGGAAGCGAGTCAAGAGGCCAAAGAATAATGGGTGCTCAACTTTGAGTGGTGCACCCAGTTTCAGGACGACCTTTGCCACAGTTGCTGGCAAGACGGCGCTTGGCCCCCGGTTCTGGTTGGGCGAAAAGTGCAGTTTTAAATACCAGTGGTTGCACGCGACATTATGTAGTTGTCTGGTAGTCTTGGTCTTATTCTGGAGCATGTGTAGAGCTGTTGAGTGCTGCTGCTCAACAGTTTGAGCAATGCCTTTGTATGTTTTGATTAGTGCCCCTTGTGGTTATTCCATATTAATTAATGGCCAAGAGGCCATGATTTTTTGCAGTCATGCAATTTTCCTGCATTATCATTACAATGAAAATCAAAGCTGAAAAATACCAAGGGGCAGTCTGTTCACCACAGAAAGCAATAGTGTCAAACTTGAAGTGCAGCATTACATATTTTTGTAAGTATTCTGTATATATGTAAAGATATTTATTACATGGCAACTTCTACCTTGATTTTTGAGAAATAAAATTGTCAGACAAGAATTGCTCCCGTTTTGCTGCTTGCTCCACATGGAGTGGGCTTTCTTCTGTATTGTTGCCAGTGCTTTGTTCGTGCATTTATATGGGAATTTACAAATTTTGTGGTTTTCAAAAGTGAGGCAGAGATGTTATTGTACCTTTCACTAACTTGTCAGGTAGAGATAATTATATCCTGCCAAATAGAATCTTAATTGGTTTGCTCGGAACCTGAGGAAAAAAAGACTATGTAAACTCGTGTTTGGAACATTCATCAACATTCATGCAATTACTGGATAATGAAGGTGTTTGCAACAAAATGGCAAAGTTTAGGCCATGAGCAGCACAAAAGGCATGTGGCCCAATTTTATGCTAGTTACAGGCTGCTGTGTAATATTGCTCGTAGTGCCTGTTAACTCTTTGACGGTAAAGTTCTTTTAAAAAAAAATGTTTCCCAGTGGTCTGGTTTTGTTTCTATAGAAATATCATAAAGAAAACGTCAATCCGCAGAATTTTTCCCCAATTATTTAGCGGGAGCACATACAGTGCTTGCACGCTGTTTAGGTTTAGAAGCATCAAATTAAATATTAAAGGCGAAAACTTGTCACCTTTCTGCCATTCGGTTTCATTTGGCGCATCCGCTTCCGAGACATTCCCGCCGCTTCGGATTACTAACCGGAGGTATGCTTTACGGAGCTTTTCCATCGATTGATGAGCTCTCATTCTCCAAATTTAATTCTGAAAAAATGTTTCTGAATTTGAAGAGCGAGTGCTCCCATTAGCACTACTGGTCTGAGCAGTCGGTATGCAAAGTGAGCGTCACGCGTGCGGAGCAAAAGGAAATAGCCCAGCAAAGCGAAACACTGCACAAATGGAATGTTTATCGTAAGAAATAGTACTGCGATGTGCTCAGTTATTTGGCTCAGTTTTGCAATTAGGTGGGCTCCCTGAATTGTGTAATTAGCGCCGTACATGTATGGCGACGACCATCGAAGGGGACATGGCAAAAGTATAACTGCATTGCTAAAAGGCCATTGGGTGTATTTGCACTAAGTTTGCCTGGGATGGGATGTAATTGCGAGAGAGGCGACCATCCGGGAAGGCAATTGCCACGTTTGAAGGGTCGGTGGGGTGGCGTCTGGTGCAACTCGACCCTTGCACATGTGCACCCTCTGGGCTACCTTTTGCATTTTGAGAGTCTTCCCCTAGACTCGGACTGAGCAAGTCAAGCAGCAATTGCATCCTCATTTGCTGGTGCACGCTAAACACAGAAAAGAGTGCAGGATCACTGTGCGTTCACTGGGCGTGATTGGACAATGCACTCTTGGTGCGGCCCCATTTGCTCCGTTGGATTCTAGCATTGACCCAATGTGAAACGGAGTACAGCTCCGATGACACTAATCGCAGGAGCAGTTGTTATCGAGAAATGTTGCAAGCTGGTTATTTTGACTCGCTGCAGCAACGACCTCCCCATAGACGCGGAAGACTCAGCCGTCAAATAGTCTGCACACAAAACCGTTGTGTCCACCATTGCGGGTGACGTTTCCATGCTCCCATTGTGTCCTTGGAGAACAAAACCAGTGGTTTTCCTCTGCATTCCCCATTTGAGACTGCGTCGGGAGCTATGCAAGCATTCTCCAATGCCGTAAAGGGCGAGCCAACCGAGCACACGCCAAGGGGACGAGCCTTGGATTGGCCAAGAATTAAGTAGGCACCATCGCATGGTTTACAGACAAGAACCTATTTGGGCACACGTCAGAATTCTACTAGCCTTGCCTGGTTGCCAGACGCAAATGATGAGCAGTACTAAATTACCTTATTATTGTGATCCTTGGAGTCCTAGAAATCGCAATACTTGCTTTATATTTTAAGCAACCTACAATCATTTAATTTCGAGATTATTGTTTGTGTCCAAACACCTGTAAAGGGAGATGCAAATCTAAAAACAGCAAGATTAAAAAAAAATGATTTTGGGGTTTTGGTGTTTTGTTATTTTTAGGGATGCCGCAAACTTTTTTCGAACCGAAGTTTCGATGATCGAATCAAGCGGTTCGAAAGATTTCGAATGTTCAAACTTTCTATATTGAAAAATTCGACGGAAGTCGAATTTTCGACCTTGTTAAACTAAGAAGTTCGACGCCTTTCGAAATTTCGAATTTTGCACGTTCAGATATGCAATGTTTTTCAAACCTTCGAACTTATTACGCTAAAAAATCGATTCTTTTCGACCTTATTACGCAGCAAAATTCGATGCTTGTCGAACTTTCGACCTTTATAGACCAAACAATTCTATGATTTTAGAACTTTCGAACCTCCTACGCTAAGGAAATCAATAATTTTCGAACTTATTTAATCTAGAGAATTTAAAAACTTCCGAACTTTCGAATCCTAAAAAAGTAAAAAGTTCGAACTTCGAACTTCTATGGTAAAAGTTTGAAGTTCGTCGAGCTTCGAAAGACCGGCGGACGGTTTTATTTGAATTCAAGCAGTGAGGTACATTCATAATTTTATTTTTCTTGAATTTCTACATGCGGTGCCGCGTTCCTTGTGAAAGACAATGCCGTTTATTTCAATGTTCTGGCACGCTTAGTTTTAAAGAAATAAACTCCCGAAGTAGCGAGGAAGGACGACGGATTTTTGCCGAAGCTTTTTATGGTAGAGATCTTTTTAAAGGGGCCCTGCAATGACTTTTCTACTAATTTTTAATTTGCACCGAACCCGAGCGCACTGAACGTAGTAACTTAGTGAAACTTTTCTTTTCTCGAAATTCCCTTTATTTTAAAAGTTATAGGCAAATTAAAATGACAAAAACAAGCAAAAAATAACCTCCCTCATGACGTCCTTGGTTGCTTGAGAGTGGCCGTGAACTAGAGGAGAAGTAGTGAGCTCATCGAGCGCTCACGACTGCCGCACTCCAAGTCGACGGCGCGAGAGGGCGCCATTGAAGCGTGTTCCGGATAGGCTGTATGCAGCGGTCAGCCAGAGCGGCTCTCATTGCATTTGCTGCGCGATTAAATACTAATTCGGCATGACACTTCATTGGCCACAAACGACAGCAAACACGGGGTAAATATCAGTTCAAAACGGGAGCCACTTCGCGCTGCCATACCGCCAATGGGCTAAATCACCAGCCAAGCCCGCGCCGAGAGCCTTGGGAACGCTCGGGACCGGTCGGATCCTCGAGCCGGTATACGACCGCAGCACCGCCGCGTACATCCGGGACCTTTCCGTGTCGGCGCCTGATCCCACTATTCCTTCCTAGTATGCGCCGCTTTTTCCACCGCTTGGTGGCAGGTATGTCGACGGGTCATTTCTTGTTTTCGTACTTTATGAACTGCATTCGTTTCTTTTTGATCTAAAATACTTAACAAAAACTACTTTTATAAATAATTGAAACGGTTCGCGCCACTTATATTTTGTATTTCGACTAAAAAAGAAGCTTTTAGCGGCTCTGACCAGTATTAAGCCCAGGACCAAAGACGTCACATTTTGCGCGCTTTCGGTACCGCGGGTCGCCCTCATCGGTGGAGGAGGTTTCCGCGTCGTCCGGTTAAAATATGACGCACTGATATTTATTAACTTTCTCCGTGCCCGCTGGCTTGCCCGAACCCCAAGAGACGTGGAAACCGCAAAAAAGGTGGACGCTTGAATATGATTGCAGGGCCCCTTTAAGATGATCTATGTATAGCCTAAGTAAGTGTCGTCTTTAGATATGACTATTGTTATTCAAGTTGAGTTTCGAAGAAATGTCCAATCATGTATCTACGGGCAAATATGCCATAAACTTTGTAATTTTTTCGTCTAAATTGTTTGAGGTATCGCATTTAAAATAAAGGGGTACGGAAACAAAAATTGAAATATTCAAATTTCATTCGGAAATGAGTCAAGCATGACAGATAATAACCGAAAATGATAATTGCACGTTTGTATTTTGAACGACTATGTATAGACCAGTGTCCGATATCCTAGCCCCCAGCGATAAAAATGGGAAATAATAATCTCAAACGCAGGCTCTTGTAAAGAGGGAGGGGGGGGGGGGGGGGGGGGGGGGGGGGGCTGCGCATAAAACAATATTTTTGCTTTTTACAACGCTCTTGGCGTCGGTGCGGTTCTTGGAGCTTCGTGACTGTCCATTTCTTACCTTCTTGCACTATACTTCGTTTCACCTTATGTCCGAGCGCTGACGATGTTATGAGCCGAAGGGCCAATCAAACAGCGCAAAAAGTGCAACGTCATGGCGTGCTCCCTGCGCTTGATAGGACTAGCCGGCAGAGGAGCACGCAAAGAGGGACGGCGAATACCGGCTATTCCTTTCAACTGCAGAGAGCACACCATGACGTTGTGCCTTTTTCGCTGTTTGATTGGCCCTTCGGCTCATAACATCGGCCGCGCTCGGGCCTAGGCTGAAACGAAGTATACGATATGGGCAAAGGTTTCTAAAAGAAACTAAGCCTTTCAAAAAACGCAGCCCCCCTTCTGTGTCATGACGTCAGCATAAACGAAAATGGCGGCGCCCATGGAACCATAGAGATCATACATACTAACTCTAGAGGAAAAGGTCCGCCATTTTCCCATACATGTTGGCTGCCGCAAGCGGCGGATCATGCAGGCCATGGAGAATAGAAGGGTAGGAGAGGGCATGACGTCGGCCGCGTAGCCTCCACAAGCCATGCTCCCTTGACGCCTCGCCTCTTTCTCATTTTCCCCCTTACTCTCCTCACTTACCATGCCAACGTGACCACATCCCGTGTCCTAGCTAGCCATCGTCTTGCTATGGTGTACTAGAATACACCACAGTCTAGACTTCGACCTCATAGAACCTACCGGACGGGGCGCGCGCAAGCCTGCAAGGAGTCCTTCTACAATCAACCATCCATCTCACACGTGACATGTCACGCACACCAATCGCCAGCCAGATCTGCGGTCACGCTGGGCACAAAATCGTTTAAACTTTTTATGACTAGGCTTCACCAATATTGCAACGTGCCCCCTCCTAGTACTTCTAACTAGGGGTGTCGCGAACCGGC